ACATAAGACATGATAATAGCTCCTATTTCCTGTGCACTTGCTAGATACCTTAACTAGTTAAGAACTAGGTACCTAGACACCACCCAAGCCTCCCAACAACACTGCATATTGGGAGAGATGACTGGTGGGACCCAAGCAAGAGATGGTTACTGAAATGGTTACCTCAGTGAAGCTTCTAGGATACTTCTGAGCTTCCTAGCAACCAGTGGAAAAAGGGAAATACACCAGGCCATAAGAAGAGGAAAGCTTTTCCTTGGCACCTGGAAGAGTCGACCATTCTATCCATTATGCAAGGGTTGAAGAGTAATAGGGTGGATCTTTCTTGCAAGAATACAAGTGCCCAGATGGTGGAGAGCAGCCCTACCTTACCCAAAAACATTTACCCCAGTAGAAGAAAGGATGAAAAGGTGTCGGGATGGAGTTCTGAGGTTAAGCTGAGACTGATGCCCAATTCCCACCCAGAGCTGCTGAATCTAGGTCTGGGGGAGGGCCCAGAAACCACGAGGACATAGCATTGCCAAACAGTACTGATACTGTGCTTTCCTAACAGGAATGGCTCCCAAGGTCATCCAGCGAACTTCCCTCTTTCTGTAGAGATGGCGACAACGGCCCAGCTTGAGGAAATAACTCGCCCAAGGTCTCTTGGTGAGTTCAGAGGGCTTAAATCTGGAGCATCTCCCCTAAAAATAACTAAATTCAGGAGGGCCTGGGTGGCTCAGTCGGTTAAGCCTCTGACTCTTGGTTTCAGCTCAGGTCATGATCTCAGGGTCCTGAGATTGAGCCCTGCCTCCGACTCTGCTCAGTGCAGTCAGCTTGAGATTCTTTCCTCCTCCCTCTCCTTCCCCCGCTGCCCCTACCCTTGCTCATGCTGGCGCATGCACGCTCACTCTCTCTTTAAAATAAATAAGTAAAATCTTAAAAAAAAAAAAAAAAAGTTGAATTCAGCATGGGACAAAATACCCTGCAAGTAGGCGGAGGCGTTTTTGCTGTGCTGGGATGATAGAGGTGGTAGTGAAGAAGATAGTGCGTCTTGTCGGTTATTATAGGAACTACGAGGCCGGCACATCGGTAAGAACGCTTCTGGCTGAAGTAGTAGAAAACCAACCTTAAACTGGCCTAAGCAATTAAAAGGTCTTACCGGTTATGAGAGTCCAGGCACAGAGCAAACATCAGCCCTGTGTCGTGCCAGACCCATTTCTTCTCTCCTGGTCAAGGATGGCTGCCAAGAGATCTCTCCCGCCTGTGAACCAAAGCTGGTTCTGGGCCAGTTGGGCCCCCGCTGAACCAATGCTCAGTGACCAAGCGAATGCCGTGCGTGCTGACTGGCTTATGTCTCCGCTGCCAGACCAGTCATCAGGACACAGGGGATGAAATGAAGCTGATTGGCTTAGGAGAGCCAAGTCCCTCCCCCTGAAGCAGAGGCAGTCTCACCCAAATTACAAATTTGGAAAAGTGGAAAGGGTGTTAGACGCACGATGTCAACCACACACAGGATGGGGCTGTGTCCCCGCCCTCTTCTCAAGGCCAGTGGAATCAATATGTAATGACATCCTTTCATGGTCTATGTTTGAAATGAAGATGCCATGGGCTGTCATGGTGTCTTTGATGAGCATTGGAATTGGGCCAGAGGGCCAAGGCCAATCTCAAACTTGTCCCTGATAACCATCCCTCCCTTGCATTGTGCACAGAAGAGGCAAACCAGGACAGTTACACCTGATCCCCAGTCCTCAGTTGGGGCTTTGGCTCCATGCCCCAGCCTGACTGCTGTGAAGCGGGCTCGTTCTTTGGGAACTTCCTTTATCTGGGTAGACAGGCCTGAACAGCTCAGAACCAACGCCGGACACAATGCCCACACTTCCTGCTGGCCTGCTTCCTCAAGCCCCGACCCGGGAGCGGGATCTCACCACCTCTCTGCCTGCAAGGAAAATCCAGAGATTCCTGAAGATAGCAGAAAGGAGCATGGGGACCAGCAGGAAACCTTGGCCCCAGGGCCCAGCCGAGCCTTCTCAGCCCAGGACAGGAGCCCCCAAGGGCCCACAGCCTTCTGGGAGAAGAGAGAGCATTTGCAGCAACAGAGAGAGCCCTATAATCTGCCAAACAAAGAAGGAAGGAGGACGTATTCATCCGCAGTAGTCCTGGAGCAGTGTGGTGGACATTTAGAACTCTTCCCAGGGATTCCACTCCCAGAGCAGGTGACTTAAGTGAAACTTCAACACTTGGAAGTAGGGGAGGTTGTGGAGGGTAGAGTTGGGGATGACTAAGGAATGGCAGGGGCGAGAGGAATGCCCTGCTCCTGATCCACCTCTGAAGGAGCAACAGGAGCTGGGGCAGATCTTGAGCCCCCCCTAGAGGCCTCCATACATGTGTGCATGCATGCATTCATTCACCAAGCCCTTCATCCCATTTTGCACTGGACATCGTGCTAGGTGCCGGAGATGCAGCACTGAAGGAGGCAGATAAGGCCCCTATTTTCATGGAGTGGGGGTTTCACACCAGACAGTGCAAAACGGGAAACACACATCAACTCAAACCAAACGAGGTTCCTGGGCACAGTGCAGACCCTGCACTCTCCCTGGACCTCCAAAGGTCCTGAGCAATTTCCCTGCCTTTAAACCAGGGGACTGGGAAGGACCAGCTGCCAGCCCAGGCTTACGAGGCCATGCTCCTAAGCTGCAGAATGGTAACACTGGAAAAGACCCCAAAGATCCTAAATCCCACCTGCTCATTTCACAGACGAGAATACTGAAACCCAGACAGAAGAAAAGGCAGCATCCATATAAAACTAACTGGCATTTACTGAGGCTCTCTGTCCCACCCGGATGAGGACTTTCCCCGCCCAATCCCTATGCCCCAGGGAACTCAGGCTCTCCCAGGACTAGAGCAGCCCTCCTGCAGCTCAGTTCTTCCCACGCCCTCAACCCACAACCAGGCTTGAAGTCCATGTCCTAAAGCCCCAAGAGCGGGCCGTGGGGGCCTCAGAGATGAACAACCCCAGGGAGAAGGGACGGCTGCTAAAGGCGTCAGCTCAGGCTGGCTCATGAAGTCTATTTTCTATGTGTCTGGAACCAGGCCAAAGCTTCCTGGGGTAATTTTAACCAGTATCCACTCTAGAACAATACCAAAAAAGGTAAGTTGCTTACCACCCCAGACAGGCGCATACCTAATCACTGCCCTTTCATGAATTAGACTCTTAAAACATTCAGAGCTAAAACTGAAGGTAGAGGAGCCAAGCAAAGTATCCCTATATTGGCTCTTGGCCCTCTTATTGAAATTACCTCTGAAGTGCCAGTTATTCTTACCCTCAGAAAATAACCTCAACCCCTCAGCTGTCTTGGGGTAGGGAAGGTATTTTTAGACCCTAGAACAGCTGATTTAGGACTAGCTGCAGGGGCTAGGGAGATCAGGGGGAGGATTGAATTGCAAGGAGCTAATGGGGGGAGCAGGGAGTTATCCAGGGGGCAGGAACCAGCAGGGGCTTTAGGACAAGTCAGTCAGCAGTGCCTTTTTGATCAGCAGAGTGTCTTGATCTAAGCCAGGGGTTCTCAACTGAGGGTTGGTGGAGGGGAGGGGATGGGCGAGATGGGTGATGGGTATTAAGGAGGGCACTTGTTATGATGAGCCCTGGGTGTGTATGTAAGTGATGAATCACTAAATTCTACTCCTGAAACCAATATTGCATTGTATGTTAACTAACTAGAATTTAAATAAAAAATCAAAAAGAAAAAAAAAAGCCAATGGTTCTCAAAATGTGACCCCTAGATAAAGCAGCATCAGTGTCACCTGGGAACACTGCATTAGAAATGCCAAGTTTCTGGGGCGCCTGGGTGGCTCAGTTGGTTAAGCGTCTGCCTTCTGCTCAGGTCATGATCTTGAAGTCCTGGGATGGAGCCCCCTGCTCAGCAGGGAGTCTGCTTCTCCCTCTCCCTCTGCCCCTCCAGCCCACTTGTGCTCTCTCTCTCTCTCTCAAATAAATAAAATCTTAAAAAAAAAAAAAAGAAAGAAAGAAGAGCCAAGTTTCAGCTCCCACCTAAAAAATACTGAATTAGAACCACCGTGTGTGGGGCCCAGCAATCTGTTTTTTTTTTTTTTAAAGATTTTTTATTTATTTATTTGACAGAGAGAGATAGAGAGAGCAGGAACACAAGCAGGGGGAGTGGGAGAGGGAGAAGCAGGCTTCCTGCCGAGCAGGGAGCCCGATGTGGGACTCGATCCCAGGACCCCGGGATCATGACCTGAGCCGAAGGCAGACGCTTAACGACTGAGCCACCCAGGCGCCCCCCAGCAATGTGTGTTTTAATGAGCCCTCCAGATGATTCTGGTGCTAGCTAAAGTTTGAGAACCAATGATACCAGCAAACCATCTAGACGGATCCCCTTGCACATAAGGCTGGAGGAAAGAATGATCTACACTGGTGCTTCTCCACTCTTGAGTGTTTGTTCAAAGCAAGGGATCCCAGCCCAGAAAAATGCATACCCACATGGAAGTTTCAAGGCTGGGTGGCCTGGGTGAAAAACCACCACTCTTTGGCAATCCAGAGGCTCTGCTCTTCTCTGGGTCTAAGGCTGACCTGCAGAGAATCTTAGAGCTGAAAGAGACCTTACAGGTTACTTAGTCCAACCAAAGTAGGAATCTGCTCCACAATATCCACAGAGCCTCAGCATTAGCTGGGCCCTTCCAGAGACTGGGAGCTCACCGCTTCCTAAGAGCTTGTTTGCAATTGTCCTCGATTTATTTGGGGAGAGTTAGTGCTTGTTCACTCCTACATAGGTCTAGATCAACCAAGCTCCAATAACTTGGTTGAAATAGGCTTATAAACCCCAACTAAAGGAAGTATGTGACTGCCCTAAGTGGTAGAAATGAATGCGGTATTTTTAAAATAACCTATCTCAGTGGTGGTGATGGAATATCCTCCTTTACATTGATCCGAAATCTACCTCCCTGCAACCTCCCATCCGCACCCTGGTTTCGGCTTCGGAGCCACAAGGAGCAAACCCAAGGTCTTGCTTAACAAAAGACAGCGTTTACTCTTCATGGGCCTCGCTTGGCGCCGCAGCTCAGGGAGGGTGGTCTCTGGCTACCCTCAGCCGCCGGTTCAGAAGATGCAGGTGCAGCCCACCGCAATGGTCTCCATGACGGCGCGCTGGCGGCAGGGCCCGGGGCGTGGTGGCAGCGGGCAGAGGCGACGGCGCACTGGCACCTGGCTGAACACGGGCACGCTCACCATGCTGCGGTCCTCCTGCATGGTGAAGGGGTTCACGCAGCCCAGACACAGGCACCGCGCCTCCGGCAGGTCCGCAGGGATGCGGCTCGGGTCGTGGTTGATGCTGCAAGAAGGCAGGAGAGAGCCCTGAGGGGCAGGTGCCCAGGACAGGGCAAACCCGTGCCCATGCCCCACACCCCTACCTTTCCTAACTGGGGTTTTCAGCCCCGCAGCCAGGCTGTGCTCTGCTGGGGCCTGGGCAGTGATGAACTCCGGGTTCCAGGTGAGAAAACCGAAGATCTTAGAAGGCAAGCCAGCCCCAAGGTTATCCAGGCTCAAGGTCACCAGTCAGTCACCCAGTTCCCTTCCTTCATCCCCAGTACTAGATTGTACTGTGGGATCGCAAAGAAGCCAACGCTTTCTCTGTCTCGCGCCCCCTCCCCCGCCACGTGTTTATGTTTACATATAACTTCATCCACGGGAAATGACGTAGGAGCATGTTGATGCCTAATCCTCACCAGAAGAGGAGTCAGGAGGCCTGGGTTCTATTCTGACGGCGTTTCTCTTCATTCAAGACATGCTTTTCACACACCCACCACGTGAGTGAATCTGTCCTAGGCATGACGTGTTCACTGATGGACAGCACACACAGGTTCCCTCCTAGAGCTGAGAGTATAGGGACTTGCTTTGTGACCTCGCCTTCCTTGTGCCTCAGCTTTCTCGTCTGCTAAATGGGAGGGAGGGAGTTTGTGGACCTGCAGAATCTGCATCACTCAGGAGCTTATTAGAAATGCAAAATCTTGGGGCGCCTGTGTGGCTCAGTCTGTTGAGCGTCTGCCTTCAGCTCAGGTCATGATCTCAGGGTCCTGGGACCCTGCATCGGGCTCCTGCATGCAGGAGCCTGCATCGGGCTCCCTGCTCAGCGGGAAGCCTGCTTCTCCCTCTCCCACTGCCCCTGCTTGTGTTCCCTGTCTCACTGTGTCTCTCTCTGTCAAATAAATAAATTAAAATCTTAAAAAAAAAAAAGAAAGGCAAAATCTCATCCCTACCCCAGATCTCCTGAGTCACAACCTGCATTTTTATAAGATCCCCCCCAAAAATCAAGGGCACAATAAAGTTTGAAGCCCAGGTTTGTGGGATTTTAATGGACTCTTCTAATGGCCACATTCCAGATAACACATTCCACATGTGGCTATTTAAATTTAACTCAATCAAAATTTGTCAACTATACTTAAATAAATAAATCTAAAATAAATGAAATAATCATAATGAGTTTCTCAGTTGCACTAGCTACATGTCAAGTGCTCAATAGCCACATAAAGCTAGTCACCATCACAGAAAGTTCTGTTGAACATGCTCTTCTAGAGTCTTGGGACCTAAGATGTGCAGCTAAAAATATTTGGCCTGGGTGCACCTGGTGGCTCAACTGGTTAAACATCCGACTCTTGGTTTTGGCTCAGGTCATGATCTCAGGGTTGTGAGATCAAGTCCCACTTTAGGCTTCACACTCAGCAAAGAGTCTGCTTGAGATTCTCTCTCTCCCTCTTCCTCCGTCCCTCCCCCTGCTCCCTCTCTCACTCTCTCTCTCTCAAATAAATCTTTAAAAAAAAATCTTTGGCCTGATTTGTGAGTGAGGACCCCTCCAGGTTAGTCTATTTCTTCGTTACTCATTTAGCACACACACATTCGGCCCCTCCTGTATGCCAGGGTCTGTGCTTAGAAGGAGAGCTACAGTCGAGGTGAGACATCAGCCCTATCATGTAGGGGCGGCAGGTCCTAACTTGCAAACCTGGCTGGGCACCCTCATCACGGGGAGATGTATAAAATACACTACATCAAAATAAATAAACAGAAAGAAAATCTGAAGAAAAAAAAATACCACTTTCTGCGCCTCTCCCCGGAGACTGTGATCGAGTGGGCCACTCGAATCCTTACATGACTCTGATGCAGGCCCTGGGAAGGTGCCAGTCGAACGTGAGACAGATGCTGACACAGCAACTTGATGCCTCCTGCAAGAACTGGGACTGGGAGCAAGTGAGAGCCTTGCAAGCCCTTAGCGGGCATGTGAACCACAATCCCTGGGCTTTGCCTCCATAGCTCATTTAATAACAAGCCTATAAAACCTATGAAGTGAGACTCTTTTTTTTTTTTTAAGATTTCATTTATTACCTGACAGAGAGAGAATGAGAGAGAGAGAGCACATGAGAGGGGGGAGGGTCAGAGGGAGAAGCAGACTCCCCGCCGAGCAGGGAGCCCGATGCGGGACTCGATCCAGGGATTCCAGGATCATGACCTGAGCCGAAGGCAGTTGCTTAACCAACTGAGCCACCCAGGCGCCCGAAGTGAGACTCTTAACTATGGGAAAGAAACTGAAGGTTACTGGAGAGGAATTGGTTGGGGATTGGGGTAACTGGGTGACAGGCATTAAGGAGGGCACGTGATGTGATGAGCACTGTGTTATAGGCAGCCGATGAATTACTGAACTCTACCTCTGAAACTAATGATGTACTATATGTTGACTAATTGTATTTAGATTTTTAAAAATGAAAAAAAAAAAAAAAAACCCACCTATGAGTATGAACCCGTATCACCGCCACTTATGCTGAGGAACCTGGGGCTCAGAAAGGCTAAGCCTGCCCTGTTCCACACAGCCGGTAAGAAGCAGAGCAGCCGGGATTCACAGCAGGTGCTCAGGCCTCTGAATCCAAGGCCTGTGACAGTGATGGGGACGGTAGGCACCGTGTGCGGCTCGCCCCTGGCTGCCCAGCCCAGCTTACCTGTAGCCCCAGGGCGACAGGCTCCTCTTGTTGGACAGCCACAGCTGCAGGTTGACCTCGCACTTCCTCTTGGCCAGCTCGGAGCTGTTCCTCAGCTGGGCCACCATCTCCCCGAGGTTCCTCTCGTACTCCTCCATGTGGGCATACGGCTTCGCCTGGGACACCAGGTCCAGCGGCACCTGGTGAGGCCCTGGAGCCAGGGTGCCAGGCCGCCCTGGCCCCTTCCTCTTGCCTTTGGGGTTCCTGGGCTGGCCCAGCCCCAGGAAGATGGAGAGGGTGAGAAGGAACAGCTGGGGAAGAAGGCCACATGTCAAAGGTAGGAGAGCCTGGTCTCCCGCTCTGGGCCAAGGCTCAAGGCCCAAGAAGGAGAGAGGGAAGAGAGCCTCTGTGGGGACCACCCTCACCTGCCATGCGTGGCCTGGTCCCGCGAGGCCACCGCACGTGTACCACAAGTGTGTGTATGTACCATAGTCATCGCTAAGTCCTACCTGAGGCACCTCTCAAACATCTCACCACACTTCCACTTCTCTGGGCAACCATCCTCACTTCCCTCAAAAGCTTCCTACCTGGGCTCCCCACATCCTCCCTGGCTCCTTCAATCTGTTCTCCATACCAGGGCCAAGGACAGGTGTTTGAAATGTAAATCTGATCATGTCACCCTCCAGCTTAGCAGTTCACCTTCAGGGTAACAACACCCCGACTCTGCCACACAGTCTGACCTTTACCTCCACAGACCACCCCTGATTCCTCTCACACCTGTGCGCCAGCCTCTGGCCTTCTCTGAAGCCCTTCTTCCCACCATGATCCTTCCTGCCACAGGGACTTTGCACAGGCTGCTACCTGCAGAGTCGTGCCTCCCCTCACCTTCTAAATGCCTCTTAGCCCTCATGTCTCAGCCCAGTGTCATGTCCTTAGGGATGCCTCAGTGGACTTTCTTGGGCTCCCAACACCACACGCCCCTTGCGTGACTGTAGACTTATTGTGTGTGCGTGGCTCTTTTATACGGCCGTCCCCCACCAAGCACAGACTTCGTGTGGACAGACATTGCAACAGTTTCCACATAGTGTCTCAACCCCCGTGACTGGGTCAGTGAACGGCTGTCACCAGCCCTGCCCTTCTGTAGCTCACCGTCTGGGATGGGGAGCACACAGTAGACAAGAAACAAGCCCCTAAATCTCTTGGGGCTTGTTGTTGAAGATGATGAGGTGGGCTGCATGTGGCTGGGGATCAGGGACACCTGCTTAGCCGGTGCAGTGGATTGGTCCCCCAAGGCCTTTCTGGGGACCAGGCATGTAGGTGGGGTCTGAAGCATAAGAGGGAGGCAGATGTGGGCAGAGGGAGTCTAAATATCTCACAGGGACGGGGGGGCAGTGTGAAAGGAGGTTTGAGTTGGTGAAGAGCTGTGCTGGGGAAACCATGAGGCTGAAATAAGAGTATGCGGAGGAAGCCGACGGGGCGGGGCGGGGTGGGGGTGAGGCGGGGGGAGGGGGCTGTGAGACTAAGGTGGGGAATCAGGCAGGTCCCGGCTGAGGATCCCCGTTGGACGCCATGACACCTGTGCTCCCCTCCTTCGCGCCCAGCCCTCTGCCTGCCGCCCACCATCCACGCCTCACCCACTTGTATCCAACCGTTGTCCTCCTGTTCCCACAGAACTGGAAGCATCGGGAAAGGCTCTGGCTTGCTCAGGAGAAGCCCCCGGGGCCTGGCAGTACCCAGACTCCTCAGCAAGCCCAGGAGACAGACCAGAACTTGGGTGGGGCCCAGGGCTCACCAGAAGGGAGGAACCTTCAGGAGGGTTTCATCTGGTCCCTGAATCTAACCAGGCTCCTACCTGCCCTGAGTCACTCACCTCACCACCTGCACGGCCCACGCCTGAACTATCCAGGCTACCCAGCAAGTCTTGACCCTTGGAAACAAGTTTCAGCATAGCCCCTCCTGGCAGCACCACTGCCTGGCCCCAAATCCACCACAGAGACTCAAGTCGCTAAATTCTTCCTTTTTGGTCCTGGATTCCGGTGCAGAAAAATGTCTCCTTAACTGTTGGCTTTCCCATCTGAGCGTCTCCCGTGGGGTTCTGAAACTCTGGCTCTCCATTCAGAGAAACCCAGAACAGAATCAAAGTCCCCTTCCCTGGGAAAAAGAATCAAAAAGGACTCGCCCAAGGTCACACGGCCTGGATCTCAGGACCCCGGGGACTCTTTGGAAAAACCCCTGGTAACGGAGTTTGCCAGGATCTGCCCCGATGGCTTCGGCCTGAAAGGGCCTCACTGCGGACGGGCTGAGCCCGGTTCAGGAGCCCGAGCTGCTGGCCATGGCTGCAGGCTCTGAGACCAGTCTCTGTTTCTCTCTCACCCTGGGGGAGACGGCCGAGGGAGAACTCGCCTCTGCAGATTCCAAGCCAAACAGAGGCAGCCATTAATCAATAGGAAAGAAGTAACGAAACCCTCAGGCCCGAAAATGGGGGGGGGGGTTGGGGGGGGAGCGCCACGTACCAGGTTGTGCGGCCAGTCCATCCCGCGAGCCAAGCGGCTGGCCTGCAGCTGCCGCCCGCCTGGAACCCCAGATGCCTTCGCCAAGAGAATGGCAGCAACAGGATGGAGCGAAGCAATTATAGCTCGTCGGGGGGCTGCTGGGGGGTGGCTGGGTGGGCTCGTCATCAGCTGGGAGCCTCGGGCCCCCAGCTGGCTGGGCCTGGCGCAGTGGCAGGCGGCGAGGGGTGTGGGGGCAGGCCAGGAGCCGGGCCAAGGTGCCCAGGGGCTGTTGACTGAGGGACAATGCCCTGTGTGTCTGGCGGGGCTCTGGCGGGTGGCACCTCCGCCTGTGGCCTGTGGCTAGCCACCCCGCCAGCACCCGCAGGGCCGGCTAAGACAATCAGCTTCGTTTGCTTTGGGGATGGTGAGGGGGTGAGGGTGGAGGAGGGATAGGCTGTCTGTTGGTCAGGAGAGCAAATGTTCTCCAGTGTGCCAGCCAGGAGCAGGACATAGGCCCCATCTCCCAGGGAAACAGCCTCAGGCACCCCGGCCTCAGCCAGCCTCAGGTGAGTTCCGTGGCCCCGGGGGGGTCGGAGTCCCACCCACGTAGTTCACTGGCAGGGAAACTGAGGCCAGGGCGAGGAAGGGACGTGTCTGGGATGACACAGTGGGTTAGAGATGACAGAGCTGGGATTCATACCTGGTCCCGGCGCAGGGCCCTATCCCCCACCCCGGGCTGTTTGTCTTGGGATATTTTCTGCAGGGTTCCAGCCTGCCGTGAGCGTGTTTCTGAATCTGTGCTCTCACCGGGCTAAGTCACAATTCGTGAGGACTTCGTGGCTGCTTGTTCTGGCCTTCCCGACGTCGTGCTCCCCACCCTGTACAGAGGGTCTTCGCTCCAGGGGCCTGCCCCTGTGTGGCTGTCCGTGACTTTGACTCTGTCTCAGCCTTGGTTTCCTTCTCTGTAAAATGGGAGTCATACCTAGGAATCAGCAGTGGCCTGACCCCTTTTTTCCTGAAATCTCTCCGAGTCTCCCTTCCTACTTCTCTAGAATGGGGGTAATTGTAGTGGCCACTACTTGGGGCTGTTAAAAGGAGTAAAAGGAAATAAGCCATGTTTAACGGCTGGTACAGTACCTGACATGTAGAAAGTGCTCAATAAATACTTAGCTGATTATGATGAAATAATCATATAATTGTAACTGCAAACATGAGCGGTTCTAATTAGCATTAGAGCCAGCAGGGTTCTCATTGCTCAGTCAACTCTCCTTCCTTACCCCTCGCGCCCACCCTCCCGAGAGAGCTCTGGGCTTCACAGGCTCCCGCCACAGTGTGGTTAGCTCGGGTGAGCCCAGGGTCTACGGGGCCTAGAATCCCACGCTGAACTGACCAGCCCCGCGGGTCGAAGTCTCTCACCTCAAGTGAACAGCCCAGGAGCGAGCCAGTCCACCCAGGGAGGCGGAGGAGGGGTGGGAGGGAGCGTGCAGAGGACAGGGAGGGACACCGTGAGCAAACATCTAGGACTGCACCGTCTTGTTGAGGGCCAGTCCTGGCCATTTACAGGAATTGGGTGAGGGGGAGAACACAGAGTGCGACGCACTCCTGAATGTCACAAGATTAATCTGCCCGGGGCAGGTTTCCACAGCATAACTGAGAAACTGGCTGAGGCTGGAGCGCATCGAGAGATACCACCATATTTGGTCAAATACTAGACAGGACTCTATTCTATCACTGGAAACTCCAGAGGGAGGGGGACTCTGAAAATACCTCCTCGGGCAGCAAGGGCCCCCACTCCCATCCCGGGCTGCCCAAGCCCCACTGCCACTGTCCTCAGAGCGAGCGTGAAGGGGTGAGGGATGCGGGCAGCCTCCTCGCTGCCCCTCTGCTGCTGGCGGAGCATCCGACCAGCACACAGTTGGCGGGACCCCACTCCCACTGTGGCACCCACAAAAAGGGAAATTAAAAGGCAGGGACCTGGCTGCCAGGGGTTTCCTCTGCTTCCCAGGACCCCTGAAACCACCACACTCTCCTACCTGCTGGCCACACACACCCTCGCTTCTGTATCCCCAAGTCAGGACTTAGCTTCTCGGCTTCCAGCTTCGGTGCTTGTCCATATAGATTCCCGGCTCCCAGCCTCGGAGCTCTGACAATGCAGGCCCGGGAATCTGCACCTAACAAGGAGCCAGTCTGGGAACTACAGGAGTCCTTACCCATCCCCTTCTCGTTCCCCGACCCCACCCCTACTTTAGCACAGGAGATGGAGGCCTAGGAGGGGTGGGCCTCATCCAAGGTCACAGGCCTGTTGGTGCAGAGCCGTGGGGGAGGCTGGTTAGAGCGCACCTCAGTCTCCTAATTCTTACTACTCTTCCCCCGAAGTTTACACCTACAGCTCCGGGCCAGGCTGGGACTCTGGGGGGAGGTGGGGGGACTCCTCCCAGTGGGGAGGAGGATCTGTGGGGTACCCAGACAGGTGCTTGGGGAGTCACGGATGGGCCCAGTGACCATCAATGGGTTTCCCATTCCCGGGCCATCTCAGGCCTGGAAGATAGTCCCTTCTTCCAGCCTAGGTTTCTAGAAACCACTGAAGGGTCATCTGCCCTCAGGGATGTCCTAAGTGTGAACCCTGGCCCACCACCCTGGCGGACCACTGAGGGACGCAACCCGGGCCTGAGGGGGGGGCGGAAGAACTTGGGCTTCGGGGGCTTCTGCGTCACAGCGAAGTTGGGGTCATCAGCACTTCTGAATGAGGGAAGGGGCGGATGGGCTGGAGAGGGAGAGGCAGCGGGGTGTCTAGCTCAGCGCCACAGGGGCCCTCGGAGGCAGGGCCCGCCGTGAGTGGTGCTGTGCTTACCACCAGGTGGCACCACCAGAAAGCCAGACAGCCCCAAAGAGGACAGCAAGCCCTGAGGGAACTTCATGCCGCCCTTCCCCCCCCCCAACCCCCCACCCCCGCCCTTCCCTGGAATGGGCCCTGGCGCTGAAAATGTGGGGACCAGGGGAGGGGGCATGAGTCCCGTGCCTGCCCCTGGCCTCCGGAGCGACCCTACTGTTAGGGTCCAGCTCCAGGGACAGCTCCCATGTCAGAGCAGGAACGGCACAGCCAGCAAGAGTGAGGGGGCAGGATGAGGGGGGGCTTCTGTCTGCTGTGTGAGTGATCCCCTTCACGTGGAGCATCTACCAGGTGCTAGGCCCTAGGCACTCGTCAGCTAGACATCGTCATTTACAGAAAAGAACAATGAGTAATAATAACAGCTACTGCTTAATATCTACTCACTGACTGCCAGGCACTGTGCCAAGTCCTTCGTGTGCATTGGGTCATTAAATCCTCCCGGCCACGCTGGAGTGAGGTCCTAATTTTATCCCTCGTATACAGGTGGGGAAACTGAGGCTCAGGGACCCCAAAGTCACAGAGCATTCAAAGGAAGTCTGTCTGATTCCCGTACATGCTGTTCCTTGCAGGGGAGGATGGAAAGGAGCGGCGATGTCCAGCCGCTCACCAAGGAGGGGCTATGCTTGCCTCAGCCTCACCCTGACATCCTCAAACGACCCGGACCATGAATGCTGGGGAGGTCACTGCACCCAAGCCCAAACCAGAGTCCTCAAGGGGATCTGAGAGCTCCGAGGGTGTGAGCACGGCACCCAGCAATGTTCCTGGCATTCACAAGATATTGGATGCATTGACTCAAACCAGATGTCTGTAATATGGAGGGGTAATGCTGGAATGGAGAATGGGAGGCCAGGGCAGCGGGGACCTGTAGGACGGGGGATTGCCCGGGACTAAGAGTTCAGACTCTAGAGATTGACAGACCTGAGTTTGAATCCTGCCTCTACCAGTCCACAGCTGTGTGACCTTGGGATGGTCGCTTGACTTCTCTGAACCCTAGTTTCTTCTGCACAGCAGAGAGAATAATGACTTGGCCTGGCTAGCATGTTGTGAGGATCAGATGAGATACTGCATGTGAAAGCAGTTAGCAGAGCGCCTGACAAAAGTAAATGCTCAATTAAAGGTGCTGCTGTTGTCACTGCTCTTGTGAAAACACATTTTGATTTGGGCCTTCAAGGATGCTTCTGGGAGCGTTCTTAGGTGGGAAGGACATTGTGAGGTGGGAACAAGGATAGAACCTGCAGAAGAACGCAGCGGCCCCATTGCCAGTGGGCTCACCCTGGAGCCAGGAGGACCTGTGGGAGTCAGTGTAAAGACTTGCCCAAGTGGACCCAGTAAGGGCTGGGGAGGCGGGAGACTAAGAGGAGCCTCCGTTGCGAGATGGAGTGGGGCTGTGGCCAGGAGGGCTCATCCTGCACAGGAGGTCTTAGCTCTCCTGCCATGGGGCCCACCCCGGCGCCACCCTCCTGGGTAGGAGTCTTTCTCCCAGGCCCATATTTGCACAAATGCCTGCCTCACTGCTCACTCCAGAGACCCAGCCAAGAGGCACTATTTTAAGCTCCCTGGACGGGAACGCTGTTGGTGGGAGCAGACCCAGCCAGCAAGCTCCCAGTTCTCAAAAAAGGGAAAGGTCTGGGTGAGCGGGCGGCCCCTGAGGTGGGCCGGGGGGCCGCCACACCCACAGGGTCCTCTGCCCAGGCCAGGAGCCCATGCCTCCTCCCCCGTGGGGGGCAGTCAAGAAAATGGGAGTCGGGGTAGGACTCTAAGAGGTGGACTTGTGCTCTGGGACTGGGTGGCTAAGGTGTCCCTGCTGCCCAGCAGCCAGCCCTGAAAACACCAAGCTCGCGTTTCCGAATTACAGATCGACTCCCCCCCGGACCTCGTCCCTTGTTAGCGCTTACCCGTGGCCCCTCAGAGCCAGGGTGTGTCTTGTGTAGCCACCAACAGCGAAGGATCCCCATTTAAAGCATCTCCACTGGACACCCTCATAGCAGGCAGATCTTTTCTGAGGACACACATCCTACTCTTTAAAGCTCTCGTGGTTGAAAATAATAATGATGATTATAAAAGTTTTATCTTTCATTATGCTGAAGTACCCTCTTACAATGCAATATGGTGTAGTGGGAGATGGCCGCCTTCAGAAATGGTGGTCGGACACTTGCCCAGCCCCTCATATGCGGACACGTCCACTTCTCCTAACTTCGGTGAGCCCCCGTATCTTCCTAGGTTTGCTTAAATTTATCATAAAAATTATGATTTGCCAGGGCACCTGGGTGGCTCAGTCGGTTAAGCAGCTGCCTTCGGCTCAGGTCATGATCCCAGGGTCCTGGGATCGAGCCCCGCATTGGGCTCCTTGCTCAGCGGGGAGCCTGCTTCTCCCTCTCCCTCTGCCTTTTGCTCTGCCTGTTTGTGCTCTGTCTCAAATAAATAAAATAAATTAAAAAAAAAAACGATTGGGTGCCTGGGTGGCTCAGTTGGTTAAGCGACTGCCTTCGGCTCAGGTCATGATCCTGGAGTCCCTGGATCCAGTCCCACATCGGGCTCCCTGCTCGGCGGGGAGTCTGCTTTTCCCTCTGACCCTCCCCCCTCTCATGTGCTCTCTCTCATTCTCTCTCAAATAAATAAAATAAAATCTATATAAAAAAACGATTAAAAAGTTATGATTTGCCTGGCACACAGCTGGTACTTAATATTTGGCAAATTTCGGCTGTTTTTATTGTCATTTGGTTGGTTTTGTGTATGCTCTCTTTGCTTTTCGATGGTGAAAAAACAGTATAGACTAATATTTAAAGCATGGACTTTGAACCAGAGTGACCTGAACCCCAGCCCCTGCATACAACAGCTGGGTTACCTTGGGTAAGTGACCTAACTTCTCTGAGCCTGTGTGTGTCCTCCTGGAAAGCAGGGGGATTTAACAAGATGATGCATGTAACGTGCCTGGCACAGTGCAGTGCTCAGTGAATGGCCCTGCTATTATTCTGTTGTACAGATTATTCTTTGCTCTTGCTCAGCCAGTTTGCAGAGAATAATTCTGGTCAGCTCTTCTAGAACTTTTTAACTGCCAGAGTCCCAGGCATAGAATGGACTGCCCTGGGAAAAAGTGAGCTCCCCATCGGCCGAGTTGTTTTAGTAGGGGCCAAAGGCCAGTTGGGAGTGGTATGAGGGAGATTCAAGAAGAGGAAAGGGGGGCCTGGTTGGCTCAGTCAGTAGAGCATGCGACTCTTGATCTCACTGTCATGAGCTCAAGCCCCACACTGGGCCATGGAGCCTACTTAAAAATAAAAATAAAGGGCGCCTGGGTGGCTCAGTTGGTTAAGCGACTGCCTTTGGCTCAGGTCATGGTCCCGGAGTCCTGGGATCGAGTCCCACATCGGGCTCCCGGCTCAGCGGGGAGCCTGCTTCTCCCTCTGACCCTCTCCCCTCTCATGCTGTTTCTCTCTCTCTCTCAAATAAATAAATAAATAAAATCTTTAAAAAATAAATAAATAAAAATAAAAAAGAGGGAAACGCTGGGCTTGTTGAGTTTTAAAAGTTCCCTTCCAACCCTGAGAGGTCTGAGTCCTATGTCCGAGGCCTCAGGTTCCCAAGTGGGGCTGTCCTGCCTGTCTCCACTTGTCCAGACCTGGAACAGGAAGGAGCCCAAAGAGGCCCATGAGGGATATGGACTAAACAGCCTGTCCCCGGGGCAGACAGAGGCGCCGGGCCCCCTGCCCACCAGCATATCCTCCCCTCAGTCCCAGGGGATGTTTATCCTTTGCTCAGAGTTTATAGGACGTCTGGACTTACAAGATCCAGAGTCCTGACTTTTCTGTGAAAGCTGTCAGCCCCTCCTCCTGCTGGGTGGGTCTGCGTCTATTTTGTGTGGGAGGCCCCATCCTCCAGCAGAAGCAGGAAAAGGGTACAGCAGGAGAAATGTTCTCTTCAGACCCCCAGAGCTCAGACCTGGTGGAGGAAGAAGCCTGGCCCTAGGGAGAGGTGGGAGAGAAAGAGGTTGGTGTCTCCCGGCTGTTTATAGGAGAGGAGTCCTCCAGGGGAGGCAGGTGGAGAGGGGAATTCCTTCATAGCTTGCGTTCAAAGGCCTGCTCCCCAAACACAGCTGAAAGGCATGGTACTTATCAGAGTCTGCCTCACATATTGGCTTCTGTCACTGGCTCAAATAGCCATGTTTTCATTGTGTTTATTTTGGTGTCTGTGTGAGTGTGAATTTGTGGATGGGGTCTTGCGTGTGCGTGTTTTGGAGTCATCAGGTGGGAGCCTCTTGGGG